CCAAGTTGAGCGTTTTATATTTGATTATATGCTAGCAAACTAATCTATGAAATTATATAAAGGATCTTTCGAGCCATTAGTAACATTTATGATTTATATTTAGATAATCACAATAAGAGCCACGTTCTCTGCATCAACTTTAAGAGCTAGTAAACTTAGTAACTCTGCTTGTTGCATCAATGCGTTTATCTTTGGGTCATCCTTTTTACGGAATGTTCCTTGAATCTTATCGTTTTGGACTGCAAAACCATGATAAACGAAGAATTGCATTAGAATGATAGGTGACCAATGTTATTTCAGGCTTAATATATAAGGAGGGTCCCTTTTGTTCAGCTTTAATATAAAGATTTGATTTTTGAATACGGGATTGTCTCATATAAAATACATCATCCAAGACAACTCACTGATTTTATCGTATTTTGAATCTCAAGTAATAAATATTAAATATGATTAATATATCATTGGAATCAAATTTAAGTTAATAACAGAATACAAGCCTATAACAAGGAATAGATTGACTCAAACTCCAATATTTTAACATGAAATGGAAGGGTCAAAACATATAAAGAAACATCACCGCCAATTTTTTGAATTTTTTAGACATAGCATCCATGCCTTGCTCCGCTGCTTCAATTGAAATTTGTAGTGACCTTGTGGAAGCATTTATAAAACCACCAGACTCTTCAATTGATCTCAAAAGTAGATCCAATTCTTTAGTCATCTCATTAATCTAGTGGAGAGAAAGGGAAAAAAGAGCAGTACAATCAGGACTCCTAGCATAATTTAATAGGAGATAAGAGAAATACATAACAATACAATCAACATTCCTCATTATAGCACAAATGACTAGATAAAACAAGAAATTAATCTATCCACATCAATAATGCCATCTTACAGGCACAAGATCTAGCCTTTATATGTTGAAACTATGAAAGGTTTTCAGAAATAATACTTTGCCAAACTGCTTTGTAAATCGGAACTGGATATCCCATCCTTGGATGAAGTTCCATGCTGCTCATTAGAAGGAAGCAACTTTCGAGCAGATGACTTTCCGGTGGCAGTATTTCCATCAGATGTTAGGGCAATGTCTCTATGGATTGGTGTCTTCCATGGCTCCCACCTCGAATTCAAAGTGCAGAGGGAATCCATAAACACCTTATTCTATAAAACATTGAAAAACGCAAAAACGAAAAAGAAAGAAAAGAGTTAGGGTTTGTACCTTGAATTAGGAGAGAAAAGAACACCTTACAAATGGAATCGCATTACCGAGAATGTGACTGAATGTGAATTGCGATTGAAGGAAAGCAAGAAAGAAGGGCTGGGAGTGAGTGAGGGATTCAGAGTAAGCGAGTGGGGGAGTGAGCGAGTGAGGGAAGTGAGAAAAAAACCCCTACTAATTACATAATTTTTTGTAATGTACCCTTAAGATATTTGGCTTCCAACAATTGAGTCTGTAACTTTGGTTTGTCACAAATAAGGTCTTATGTGTGTTTTCCTAGAAGAACAATATTTATTACCTTAAATTGACTGATGCTAAGGCCTTTATCTTTTTTTTTGTTTGGTCATTGACTTCCAATTAGCCTAGTGTTTGTGATGTCCTCCCCAAATAAATGTTCTGATGCGAATATCTATATCATCACGAACTCTTTGGAGAAAACAAAGTTTGTTCATGATATAAATTGGTATTGTGTTCAAGACTGAGGATGCAAGAACAATGCTTCCTACCCTACCTAGAAGGTTCATTTTCTAGCATGAGAGTTCAACTTGTCAAAAATGAATTTGAAGTCAATTATTTTGACTTTTCCCGTTAAAATTGGAAAGCCCGTGTACTTGCCAATGTTTGCAATGGAATAAAAGTTTGAGATATCTTTGAACTTGTTTACTTTATTGCATTGAATATTTTTGGACATTTAGAATTTGGTCTTTTGGAGGTTAATTTGTAAATTAGAGGCATGACCAAATTCTTTTAAAACCTATTTCATGAGCCTAATTGCATTGGTAAAAAGTAACCAATCATTGATGAAGAAAATATGTGAAACTTTTGTGTCCCCTCTAAAGATGTGGACCGATTTTCAATCATTTGAACATTTAATGCATCATTTATTATTTTTCAACAATCAATCACTTTGATAAGATAAAAGAATAATTTATCTTTTTTAATACTTGATATTTTTTTTATAAAAATAATATTTGTATTTGTGCAAAAAAAAATACTTTATTCTCTCTTCTTTGTTGATTTCACATTTAGTAATTAATTAGTAGATGTAATAACCCATCATGATTATTACACTAAAAGGAATCACCACCACAAGCAATAAAAACTAGATTACTAAGACATACAAGATTAAAAAAAGAAACATGTCATATATATATACACACATACACATATAGCACGAATATAAGAGTACACCTAAATTGATATAAACAAGTTGTGTATATATATGTACAGTAATCCCAAATAATCTTATATTCTATTATCGGTCAAACACGATTATATATGTTACCAAAGTAGCATCGACAACAGCCAAAAGGTATCGCCAACCTCCAAACAACACTACTCCTCCAACCTAGTCCTAATTTGCTCCATATAATGTATATTATCGTAATTCAAACTACAATGAAAACAAAATGGTAAGTTAGAGTACAAAAACATGTATATATAGAAAACAATCCTATAATATATAATATCACACTATAACCATACATGAAAGCTACAACACTCCAAGCAACCATGTATCTCATCCAAACCATATCACATAAGGCATCAATAATGCATATGAACACACCTTGACACTCATCATATGCAAATATATCAAATAATGTGTCATCACGCATTCACCTATGGAGATCTCCTAACAATATGAGCAATCTAATTGACTCCATCTTACTGAATCAACTCAATCATTTTCGCACCCAAAACGTCAACTCAATTACAACAAAATGGGATACAAATCCCTTCTTTAATTTCTCAAGTCTTGTCACTCACACTAGAAAAGTCCAATTCCATAGTTAGGAGTGGTACAACTGGATATAGGTGTACCACGATCTTGACATGCATAATCAAGTCACATGTGGAGTTAGCCCACTAACCACCTCCAAGAAACCACACATTTTTTCTAGGTACTTGGTTAAGGGTTGTAGCCCTCAACCTTTAACCTTACTCAATCACTAAGGACTTAGAAGAGGTTCAACATACTTTAAAACTTACTCCAAGAGACACACCTACTTAAAGAGAGTTTTCCAATAATGGCCTGCTTGAGCACTACTCCAAGATTCCTTATGTGGGATCTTCAGTTTTCAAAACATTTTCCTCTCCTTAAGTCCTAAGTTAGACAACATGCCTTAATGTCATACAATATTCTTAGTATCCACACCTCACCATCAATTATATACATCACATCCAGACAATGCATATAGAGATCAACAACAACATCATCCATACATGACATATTAATGCTTTCCAAAATCATACATCACACCTATGTACAACGTACATATATTCATCATCATCCAACATCATACAGACATCTAAACATGTCATATTTAATCAACATATGCAAAACAATCATCATACATCATGCAATCATCTATATATGCCATATCCATTCAACATTTATAGAACAATCATCGTACCTCATACAAATTCACCAAAAAAACATCAACATATCATCCCGCACCTGGTGCAACATACCTTATGCCCGCTGCTGCTAAGACAGGGAGCTTTCAACCTTGCTCACACTTAACACAATCCAAACCATGCTTGGCACTACGTTTGGCATGATCGAGATAAAACTCTCTGGTTGGAACTGCGTCCGACATCACGAAAGCACGCTCGACGTGACTGTGGTTTCTACATTATGTAATCACAAAAATTGTCCAAACACCTAAAATACATGAAATTCAAAGCACGCAAAGCATCCAACAATCAACTTAACTCAAGTATGACTCAAAATCAAGCCAAAACAACACATGCAACATCATATAAACTTAAATCACCAAAGTTCACTAAAACCCTTTACGCTTCAATCTGATTTCAACCACAATTCGTTTACAATTTATGGAAACAACAACGCAATCCATCAATCAAACAACCAATTTATTCTAACTTCCTTTACCTCAAACTCCAAACAATCTAAGAATAAGGAGAAAAGAAAATATGAAATTTTGAGCTTCCACGATCTTCGCACTCTCCAAAATCAAATTCTTCGCCTCTAAATAGTTGAATTGTTACCTCAATGATCCAAGAAATCTCACGCCTTTGAGAAATCTAAAAGGAAGAAGAAAAAGTCAAAATCTTCAAAGCCATCTATCTTGTTTATCTTATTATCTCTCTAGAATTTCTTAAGAATGAACTTATAAAACTCGATTATTAAAAAAAATTACTTATATTTTTTTGCCTCAAGGTCAATTCACAAGCTAGAGACTTTCCATTTTTAACATCACTCCACAACCTTCAAGTACCTAAAAATCAGTTGATCAACTTGAAGTGTCACAAAGAATAATTGATTTTTTTTTTTTTTATGTTTTCTTATACTCAAGATCTCAAGACATTTGATTTAAAGATTTTTTTTCCTGATGGTAAAACTATATTTTTAACGGCTATACTGACATGGCTAAATGATTAAACTTAAACTTATGTGAATGTATAAAATATTTTACATTATGCATCACTTATTTTTTTTCTATTAAATAATAATTATTATATATTATTATAAATGTTAATTATATAAAAGTAAAATTTATCGTTTATCTTACATATAATAAAATACTAATATATTAAAAAGTTCATTAATCAAATGTTTCTAATAACTTATCTTGTTAAACAATTTAATTACCAAATTACATACTACTGAATTATGTTGCAAAACAGAATCTGAAATAAAAAAGAAAAGTCTGAATGAAAAAGTGTTGCCATACATACAGAATAAGATATTTTTGTATAGTGAGATATACTATTTTTTATTTATTTATTTATTTATTTTTTAAAGTGAGTTTTAAGTACATGATAGGTACACCAAGGGTATAGCCGATTAGCCGTATAGGTTCAGCCTGAAATTGAGTTCACTGTCGACAAGTTTCGCCCCAACACTCAACTCCGCAAGCTATCGTTCTTCTTCTCCTTAGCAATTAGTATAGATAGCTTCATTTTCATCCACCAAATAACAATGGCGCATACATCCCTTTTCGCTCCCTCTTCCTCCCTTAGATTCAACCCTCTTCTTCTTTCCTCCTCTCCCTCTTCTTCCTCTCGCTCCAACAACCTTTCTTTTCCCTCCCTCCCCAGGTATTTTCCCCCTTTCTTTATCAATTTTTTTTACGATGCCCCATGAACTGCGCTCTTTGTTTTAACTCAATTTCAATTTCAATTTGCCGTAAAGTTTACATTTTGATGGCTTATCTGGGAGTTCCTGGCTTTTCGATTTGTTGATGTACAATTTTATTGTTTGCATATTTATTTATTTTAGAGAATTCAGGTGTGACCTTAAATTTTTATGCTAGTGGGTCAGGGTGAAAGTGAAGGATTTTTGGTTTACTTTCGGGTTATGGTTGGAACTGCAAAAAGAAAACCATAAAAATGTCATGATAAATTTGAAGTTGTTTATTCTTAGGAAAGATGGTTAACCTAGGTCTTCTGTGAAGGGTTTCTTAAAATTTTACTAGTTAGAGCTCGAATTGTTGTTATCCACCTTTTATTTGTACTTAAAATTTTCTTTATCTAAAAGAAAAAATTATGGCAATTAAGCATGGGAAGATACTAGAATATACTGTTATGCCAGGTATATTTATGTTATGTCTATCATGGGGATGAAGCCTTGCTGTGATTTTCAGGAAACTAAGGAAGTCGATAGAAGATAGAAAGGTGAATAAAAATTTTGCTGTGAAGGCAGTGTATGGTGATGAATTTTGGACACCTGAGGGGAGTTCAAGGCAGGGTATTTGGTCCATAAGGTAGATTTTGTTTTGTTATTTGTTTATCTTTTAGCTGTATCTTATTTATTGATTTGGATAGTGTTTTTGAAGGAATGATTTGCAAGTCCCATCTTCCCCTTATTTCCCTACGTATGCACAAGGACAAGGGCCACCCCCCATGGTGCAGGAGCGATTCCAGAGTGTTATAAGTCAGCTTTTCCAATATGTAGGCAATTTTTAACTCTTGTTGTTACTTAAGGTTGGGTACTCAGCTTCTGTTTAATTTTTCTTCTACTAATAGTGTGTTTTGGTATTTAGAGAATTATCCGCTGTGGTGGAGCAGTTGATGACGATATGGCAAACATCATTGTTGCTCAGCTCCTTTACCTTGATGCTGTTGATCCTAACAAGGTTTGTTCTAAGTCATAAGTCATTGAAAACCCATGGTTTATCTTCTTATATCTTTATCCATTTAAAGTCTTCGCATTTCAAAAGATGATGTCAAATGCTTATATTATGGTATTTCTTCATTTTTGATGTGAGTATTATCTTGAGTCTGTATTCGATCTTTTCTGTTATGTAATAACTAAAAAATATGTTGTGCAAGCTCTTGGTCAACTATCAATTTTCTGATTATGTTCTACAGGATATTGTCATGTACGTAAATTCTCCAGGAGGGTCGGTTACAGCTGGTAATAATTATTTTTAGTTAACACTATCTTGCATTGTTTTTATTATTTTATTTCAAATGTTAAATGCTTCCGTTATTTTTTTTTTCTCTTTAGGCATGGCAGTATTTGATACAATGAGGCATATCCGACCTGATGTGTCTACTGTTTGTGTTGGATTAGCAGCTAGGTAACATTTCATTCTTCCTCTGGGCAATATTACCTTAATGCTGACAAGTTACCATTTACTACCATTAGTAGAAAGCTAAGAGTTTTATCCTAACTTGATCTTGATGTATGCCAACAAAACATCATACTTATTTATTTATTTGTGCTGAATACTAGGGGAATTAACATGATTAATTTTTTTCTCTCTAAACAATGACTGAGTACTTCATTTTATTGGTCCAACCATGCCAACCATAAATTATTCATAGTTTCAAATAATAATCTGTATGTCCCCTCCAAAACCAAAAAATCTAAAGAATTGTACTTCTTTATATTTCATGCTCCAAATTTGTTATGATTCAATCATTTTTTTTGGGGGGGTGAAAGAGAGGATATCTCGATTGGGAGAGAAAACAGGGAAATCCCATATGACCTACTATATCTGACAAATTGCACTATGTATCAATCCAATGTTTATCTTCTTCTCCTGGGCCATCATGTGGTGAGTTATAATATTTTCCAGAATAATATTCATTGCCTAGTAATATTGTGATATAGTAAAGGAGTTGTGTGATTTTCCCTTTTTTCCCCCTTTACCTTCATGTAGAGATATGGCACCCGCAGGACTGTTGAAGTTGGGACTGACAGGACTGTTGAACTAAAAATCTTAGGCTTTGCCTTTGAAAAATATCCTTAACATTTCAAGAATTATAAATCTCTATCAGTATTGATAATTTGACTTCAAGAAGTGATTTATAGTTGATTGTATACTGTAGTTATTTGTTTTTCCTTTTGATGAAATGTTACTTATATAGACCTTTCGGTGTGCAGTATGGGAGCTTTTCTACTTAGTGCAGGGACCAAAGGTAATGATTCCCTTAACTTGCAATCATTGTATTCATCCCCTTCCCCCGTTCTCTTGGTGAATGTCATTTCCATTTCTCCAAAAAAAATGCATCTTTCTAACTTTACATTCCTTTCTCCGTCACTTCTGAAGGGAAGAGATACAGCTTGCCAAATTCAAGGATAATGATTCATCAACCGCTTGGTGGTGCTCAAGGAGGGCAAACTGACATAGATATTCAGGTATAGGCCTCATTTTCCTCCTTTTAATTTTTATTGGATAACCTCATGTTTACTTCTAAAAATTTATATACTTTTTTCATAGAAAACTAAAATCTTAGGGAAGCACTTAAAATCTAATGAGATTTATACCAAGATGAATGCCCTTATTGCTGGAGGAGGCCCAAGAACAACCTCATCACTTATTATGTAGTAAATTTTCTAATAACCCAAATTAATGTATAAAAGTACCCTAAGTGAATTCTTTGTCCATACAATGTATTGTTCCGTACTCTTAATATTCCTATGATTTTTTCCCTATGTTATTCTGTTATTTATATTTCATTCCCTTCTATTATACATTTGGATTTAGTCAGCATTTGGCTAGATTGGATTGAATCAGACAGTTCCATTAGATTTGATTATGAACTCCGTTGCAATAAGTGGCTCAGCGACCTTACCAAAAGGGGACTGAAAGATTTACTTGGTTTATTACTTTTTTGTACTAGTATCAATCATAATTCTGGTAAATTCTTGTTGGAGAAAACTGATAATGATTCAAAATTCACAGGCTAATGAAATGCTGCATCATAAGGCAAACCTGAATGGATATCTTTCCTATCACACTGGCCAAAGTTTAGAGAAGATTAACCAGGATACAGACCGTGACTTTTTCATGAGTGCAAAAGAAGCCAAGGAATATGGACTAATAGATGGTGTCATTATGAATCCTCTCAAAGCTCTCCAGCCATTAGAGGCTGCCGCAGAGGGTAAAGACCGGGCTAGTGTCTGAACATGAGATAGTCGCACTTTAGGTTCCAAGGTATAATAAGCATAGTGTTAAGCTGTAAGATGTTTTTGGTTGCTGAGGCCAGCTGATTTTTTTACGGATTTTGATATCTGCCCATGTACCAAAAATGAGATGAAATTGATACTTTTAATGTCTTGCTTTAGGGTTTATACTGACTGAAGGTTCTTTAATGGATCCTGAATGTGCTTTTTCCTTCAAGCATTCTTTTTTGATGACCTCATGATATGTCCTCATGTATTGTAATTTGATTTTTTTATTAGATCGTGATTGTTTTTCTTCACCTATTAGTGGGGGCAATGGTGTTAACTATTCTAAAATGGATGTTTGCTTACACAAGTAATAAAAATGGTACGAGCCAACAATGATTAGATTCATATGTATCATATAATAGTTTCCGAATTGTTTAACAATATTAACGAAACTAGTTCTCAGGAATATTTTTTGTAGAATATATATATATATATATATATATATAAAGGCACAAGAGGATGTGTAGAGAAACAATAGAGGAGTAAGTAGAATCTTCTAAATTAATTATTCAATTTATATAGTTGGGCTTGAAGATCGACCCAGATGATGGTTGGGCTTAAAGAAATGCTAGAGACGAACTCTTGAGAAATAACAAGTCACAACTTGAGGTCAGTGTTATTTTGACATCTTTTTCTCTATATTCTCATTTCTCAGACCCCTATTCTCAATTCTCACAACCCACTTATTTATTTATAAAACCATCTTTGGCGGAAATAAGTTTCCAACATTTGTCATACACGAGACAATAGTTCGTTGTGTATCTTGACATGATTTGTTTAGAGACCCAACGAAACTAGATTTTATTATATATCCCGATATATATATTGTCTAGATATAAAATAGAAAAATAAGTTATCATTATGTTTTTCGACATGAGAAGCAATGGAGGTGTGGAAAAATATATATACGGAGGTGGAGGTGATGGAGTGCTTAAGAAAGTACTAAGTAGGGACGAGGGGTGTGCAGGAAAATAGAGAATGAGAGAAGAGTCTCAAGGGGTGGGGAGAGAGAAAAAAAAAGTGAATGGGAAGGGGGTAGAAGTATGATAAGGATTTAATTTTTATTTTTAAAACAATTTAATAGTTTAGAACTGTTTGAATTGGTTTTAGAAGCTTCTCAACATGAAGGACTTTATTTATTTATTTATTCAATGAAGGACTTTGCACCTTTGCTTCTTTATCACCAACGTTCTTTGAAATATGTATTATTCATCGTTGGTAGGTAGTTAAGACTTCAAAGAAAAGTCACCTACTGCAAACAGACACTCTATCGTCAACCCATCAGTTACAATTGCATCCACGTAACTCCATTTTTCAAATTTTATTTAGCCTTCCTTCACGATAAGCATTAAAAATAACATTTACTAGTTATCTTAATCGTATCAAATATTAATAAAAATAATTAGATTCTCGGTTCGTTATGTGCGTATGTTACGCACACCTAGCACATGGAAAGGAATTTCCTTATTCAATTATGGGCATTTTTTTCAGCCCTTTCATAATATACATTTATTCCCTTTTAAGTAGCAAGATCAATCTTTGGATTTTATTTTCTGATTTAAGAATATTTTTAGGCTAAATATCTATTTTGGTCCCTTATAATCTTTTTTTGTTTCAATGTAGTCTCTCATTAATTTTTGGTCTCAATTTGGTCTCAAACTAACTAATTAATTGGTTTCAATTTAGTCCCTAATAAATTAATTGGTTTCAATGTGGAACTTCCCTCCAAATTTCTTTAACAGAGTTAACTATTGGTCACGTGGATGCCACCTAGATGCATAGGTGGATGCCACGTGGATAAATTTTTTTTTGAAAACACCTGGAACCAGAACGGGCCGTTCTGGATGCGCTTTGGGGTGTTAATTTTGCATCCGAAACGGCCGTTCCAAATGCAAAATTTACACACCAAGAGTACACCAGAACGGGCCATTCTGAAACTAGAACGGCCCGTTCCAAAATTGAAAATAGAATATTATTTATTAATTTTATTAAAAAATGTAATAATTTTGAAAAATATTTTTTATGGTTAAAATTTTAAAATTACTTATTTTTATAAAATACAATTGCCTTATAAATAGAGTAATAACTTTTTTTTTCTCTTTCTATCTGAAGAAATATTTAAGTGTCACTTTATAATTTTTTGTAACTTATTTAAAATTAGAGGAATAAAATGATAAAAATTAATAGGATAAACATAATAAAATTATTAATTTATTTTCTTTTAGTGTCCTTTAAATTTTTACATTCATTTAAAATAAAAATATTTTATATGTTAATTTGATTTAATTTAACGAAGTATTATATGATTTTTAATTTTTTAAAATTTTTTATAAATTTGATCTATACATGAAAAAAAATTTAATTTAACAATTAAATTCTTAAAAATTTGATATAGAACATTAATTATTAAATAGAATAAATCTATCAAGACTTACTATTGAAGTAAGTAAATTTTTTCTTCATTAAAAATGAAAATAATTTTACCACAAAATAAAAAACAATTAAACAATAAAATAAAATATAAAAAAAAATTAATATATTTATTATATTAGATATAACAGCATAATTAAAATATAATTAATAATGTCATTTCATCATTTACTGTATAGTGTCATTTCATTGACAATATAGTGTCATTTCATCCTTTACTGTATAGTGTCAATTTGGTAGTAAGTGGTTCATCCTTTAGTGATACATTGCATTGTCCTTAATAATACATTGTATAGCCTAACTGTTTAGCAATTGAAGTTATCAATTTCCATTGACAATATTACCAAATTTAGTGTTTGAAATGTTTTGTACCTTGGGTCTTTTTCCTTCCATGATTCACAACCGTGAACTATAATCATTAATCGTTTATGTTTAGCAGTCTGGAACCAGAACAGGCCGTTCTGGTTCCAGGTGTTTTCAAAAAATTGGGATCCACGTGGCATCTACGTGACATCCACCTATGCATCCACCTGGCATCCACCTATGCAACAGTTAACTCCGTTAAAGAAATTTAGACAGAAGTCCCACATTGAAACCAATTAATTAGTTTGAGACCAAATTGAGACAAAAAATTAATGAGAGACTACATTGAAACAAAAAAAGATTATAAGGGACCAAAATAGGTATTTAGCCATATTTTTAAAATTACTAAAAAACAAATGACAAAATGATGAAAGTCAGCGGCAAGAAAATAGATTTATATGAGTACCAAAAATTTATTATGAGTCACAAATAGGGTATATCTATATAAGGAGAAGTATAATCCTATATCCTAGCTAATGTACCATTGTTTATGTGATATTTTGTCAATTAACACTTCTATTGTTAGATGTGTCATTTCTTTTGTTCGTGGTAATATTGCTGAAGGAGGATGGTCAATTGTTATTACTAGAAAATTGAGTATTTAGCTTATAGGCCGATCTTGGAAAGAGGAAAAGAAGTATTTATAGGAGAGAAAAAAAAAAAGAAAAATTAAAATAATTTTTTTCATAAGTTAAATTAGTTTGTGTATAAATTAAATAATATTTTGTTGAAAATTTTTATAAATTAACTTATGTATAAACTAAGTTTAAATTATATATAAAAAAAAACTCATTTCATTTTTTTAATATTTTTTTATAAATATTTTTAGACAAAATTATCCAAACAAACCATAAGAAGAGAATTAGTGACAAGAAAAAGTAGAGTTTTGACAAAATAAAGTGGGAAAAAAATTAAGAAAACGACAAGGAAATGATATTTATGAGAAAACGTAAATTAATAAAATAAAAAAACTAGAAGTGCAAGAATGTAAATTTACACATTAGTATTAGAAAGCAAAGTAAATTAACATGAAATTAAATATATTAAAATGTAAGTTAACATATAAGTAAAAGTTATAGTTTACTAAGATCAACCTAACAATAAAGGTTTGAATAGTTTGCATAAAGAAAAAATAATAACAAATTAAATGTCAAAAGATTTTTTTTATTTGTTAGAATTACAATAACAAAATTTGAAATTAAAAGTATGTGTACATCACTTCAATTCTTACTATTAAGCAAATTCTAGTAATTCATCAAAGATAGTTTGCTTGCAAGTGAATGAATTTGAAAAGATAAAATAAAATAAATGTAGACATTGAAGAGAAAAAAAAAGAGTAAAAATAGGTTAGGGTAGGTTGGTGTACTTAGCGAGTATGATTAGAAAATGGCAAATGTTGTCCAAGTTCTTACACTTCACATTTTTATTATTAACTTATTAAGTCGTCATTTGCAGTTTCTTATCATGATACACGTTTGAATTGGAAATTTTCAAAATTTGTGAACTTTTACATACTTCTATTATTTAAGTATTCCGTCCATATACATCTTTTCATTAATATAAGTATTTATTAAGCTTCTTCATCCTTTGGTGTTTGAGATTTGAAGTTTTGAATCGCTCATGTCTATAATTAGGGTGGCAAAGTAAGATACAATTTATCAGTTAAGTTAGAAATCTTAACCTGTTAATTCAACGGATTAATGGAACGTGTTGGTCCATCAGCTCGTTTAATCAAATATTATTTATTTATTTTTTAATTTATAATATATGTCTTTGTGTTGTATATATTTTCTATTAAAGGATTATTAGTACTTGTGTTATACTTCTTAAAAATTATTATAAATTTTTAGTTAAAAAATTATTAGCAATAATCTTAATTAAAAAAAAGTAAGCTTTTAATAATTTTTAATTTATTATTATTTTGTATTCTTGAAGTTGAAGAAAAAAATTATGTCATGAGTCATTTTATTAAATTTGTCAATTACTATTAAAAATATTAAATTTGCTAATATGAATTAATGGTAAAAAAAAAAAAATTGGTAAAATAGAACAGATCAAGATTTATAGATATTTGGTTGACGGACAATCATGCCACGAGTAATATACAAACTATTGATTCAAGAAATATTTTGTCCAATAGTAACAATAATGGTGTTGTGATTTACAAGATTATCATGATAAACCTAGGATATATACATGCTCACATTAAACATGAATATAAAATGAAATTTTAAGCTTTGACAAAGTACATTCTTTGAACATTCTAGATTTGAACTATTGTGAAGTTATCATAGAAAAAATATTTCATACTAGAATAATACTCAACTTAATTATTACTTGTTTCGAAAGAGAAGTTTTAATATTTCTTAATGTAATATGTTATTAGTGATAGTCTTTAAAATTATCTTAATCATCTTTTTTTTTTATGAGATGGATCGTTTATCGAGAAAACTCATTTATTAGTTCCTCTCTCTTTGATCATGATATATGAAGGTAAATTTTAATTAGCACAAAATTATTTTAAAATCGAACTTTGATGAAACATTAAGATTCAAACTTTGAAATTAAGTTTAGAGAATTAGATAAAGATCATATTATCTCCCATGCTCTAATTTTAATATGATTTTTATGATCAACAATTATATTTATATGCCTCTTTTACTTTATTTTTTTTCAAGTCTATTTTTGTTTCTTATCATATCACTTTTCACATTTAACACTTTCTATTTTCTTTCCCTCTTTTTTTTTCACCTTTCGTTACACTCTAAAATAGGGTATATAATGAGCATATTTATTTCGGGTTTAGTTGATTTTTCCTCATAATTTTACTCAACTAATAAAGTAAATTGAAGGGAAAAAAAACCTGTTTTCCGCTACAATACCACCAATTGCCGCCGTCCAACAAGTTTCGTGAAATGGGTTATAAATCCACTTATGGGTTATATTATTTGGCATTACACGACCGTTGGCACGCATAGTCAGAATCCGATGAGATGACACTATGTTTCTTCCCTACTACCTAACGGGATTGCTTCATTTTCTTTTCTTTTTATATTTTTATAAATAATAATCATACTTTCTTCTTGAGTTTTGTTTCCGTGTAAACTCTTCGCATATACTATACAAATAAATCATCAGCACATTGGAGTTAATATAATTTTTCTGACTGAACTGTCTATATAAGTTTATCTTAAGAGTTTGTAATAACAAAATTTGAGCAAATATCACAATTCATCATTTTTCTTTCATCGGGACTCTTGAGGAATTAGAGTTTCACCAAAAGATTTGTAGCTATTAATGGATCATTTTGTTGTTTGTTTTGTTATTAAAAGATGGTTCATTGCCAGAAAATGTCAAACTAACTATGATCAACATTCAACAGAAATAAATAATCCATACGGATCTCCTTGTTGTTAGTTTCCTAATAAAATTTAAACTCTCGATTGCGACAGAGTTTAAATGTGAATAAATTGACCTTTTCACCTTAGCATAACAGATGGAAATATAACGCCTTCGGTAGCGATGATGAAGAATTGACCAAACACATAATTAGTTCTCTTACTCAGTTTGACGGTGGTCTGAAAAAGTTATATCTAGATCGACTCAAATTGTATTGTTGATTTTTATCTCATGCTCTGACTTTCATATTCCATCGAGTTGGTACACAATTGTTTTTATTTTTTTATTCGACATTAGTTTTTGCATATAATCATGTATCATTTTTATATTTTGTTCATATTACAGATTTGCCTATTTTAAAAGCGTGGATGTCTGAGATCTTTACTTTACTACAGCATTTTCCTTTTAAAAAGATTAAAATCGATCATAATCTGTTCATCTATATTGATTCCTAATTATTTATACTAAATGGAATAAAACCAAATTTAATTACTTTAATAAACTATGTACATGAAGTTTGAATTATAATTAACCTTTTCTTTGTTTGGTAATTAAAATGTAAATAAGGATAAAAGAGTGAAATTGGCTTTAGCTTAGATATTGCACTCTTTACCGAACGGCCTAAACTGTATGTGACTAGGTGTAGTCCCTACTCCCAACTAATATCTAAATTAATGAGATACACTCCAAATCTGCTTCAACTGCAATCATATCTAATTCAACGCATAAGAAATAGAATACGGTTCGTAACTAATGTTTATGGTAACTTCAGGTACGGTTCAATATGACGACGACAGACATCATTCTCAGATAAAATCAAGACAACTACTCAACAAGATACCACATTACTATCTCCTATTAATAAAAACAACATTAAAATTTGTGGTATGACAGCATAAATAAATAAGACGCAATTTGTCATGCGAATGTACATATTGAATGCCGAAAAAAAAAACATAATTAATAACATTATAACTAAATGTACTAATTATTCTATTAGTTAATCCAATTGAAATTAATAAGTATAGAGCATTAAAAAAAACATGCGCAATGGCAGATGGTTAAATATGTCAACTAGGATAAGGATATAGCAACTTTTGCGTATGAGTGCTCCCATCGCAGGGGATCTTTGTAATAGTTGAAGATATCAATGGTTCATTCGTATTATTTTTTTAAAAGTAAAAGGATATATAATTTATATAATTTTGGCATTATATGTAATTTAAAATGTTGAGAAAGGGGTTTAATTAATTATGTTTGATCATGAAGGAAGAGGAAAAAGGCACGGAACTGGAAATGGCTAAGAGGAGTCCTCCAAAATTCAAAGCGGCTCCACTCATTATCCGTCAAATTTGCAACCATTTGTACCAAACCAATGCGCAAAAGATAAACGAGTTTGATTTGATATATATAAATATAAGGGATATAACAAATATATATATATATATATATATATTTATTTAGGCCACGGTATATGATGAGGAGCTAGCATGTCTTTATAAAATGTGAAGTAAGTAAACAATGGACGTGGCAACCACTTATAAATTTGAGTTGCAGAAAATGGTTGTTAAGTCACATAGAGAGAGAGAGAGAGAGAGAGAGAGAGAGAGAGCATAACGTTGAAGTTGAAGTTCCCGTGGCTTGTAAATAAAGAGGTAAGGGTGTGTTTGTTGAAGTCATGATAGTGTGAAGAGAATGGGTTGGAAGAGAAAAGCGAAAGAGTTGTTGAGGCCGAGAGAGGTGTTGTACCTCTTCACCATCACAATCCTGAGCCTCCTCCTCCCTCTCTCTTTTCTCCTCTTGGCCACTCTCTCCGGAGCCCAATACTATCTTCAAACCCTCACTTCGTTACAATTTTCACCACAACCCTTTCCCCGTCTATTCCACATCGCCCTCAACATCAACCCATGTATTCTCTACGTTCTCGTCTCCATTGTCAGCGTGGCAACCCTCATCCAGGGCTTAATGGGCAAAATAAAAATCACTCTTTTCAGCGACTCCCCATCACCATCACCATCACCATCCAGGTCCTCTCGTCTCTCCACGGCGTGGGCTCTCCTTTGCGCGTTCCAAGTTTGCGTGGGCCTGGGCATCGAGGGGAGCATTGCGGCTGGGCTTTATGACGAGGACTACGAGTCCAGTTTCGGCGTGGAGAGAAGCCTGGTGAGCAGGATGATTTTTCTGTTGGGCCTGCACGAGACCACCCATGTTTGGTGCAGGATGGTGGTCAGGCCCGTCGTGGATGACACGGTTTTCGGCGCCTCCCGGAGGGAGAGGTGGATTGAGAGAGTGGGCTTGGCGGCGGGCTTGGGCACGTTGTGGTGGTGGAGGCTGAGGGAGGAGGTTGAGACTTTAGTGGTTGTGGCGCAAGTGAAGAATGAGCAGTTAATGGATGTGGGACTTGGGGACTTCGTTGGATGGTGGTTGTATTATCTCGTTGTGACCATTGGGATGGTGAGGATCGTGAAAGGTCTCATTTGGATGTTCATGATTTCTCTCTGTACAAGAAGGCCCATAACAGAACAAGTGGAGGAGAGTCAGAACGATGACAAGGTCTAATTGCTAATTACCCTTCACCACTTCTGTAATTTCCTTTTTTCTTTTTTGGTTTTCTAATTCAGCTTCCCATTTTGTTATTCTATTTTCTTTGCTCGGGGACATTACAATATTCTATTATTTCTATACCAATTGTAACAAACCCCAAACCAATATTGTCAACGTATTATTGCTCAACATGTCCATAATTTGTTCTTTAATTCCAATGGGTGCCATTGGATAATCCTATTAATTAATAGGATGCCATCACTTACGACAAATCAATATGATATTCTTATGTTATAAGATTAAGCGCGTCTGAAATCTGAATTCAAGATTCTAGACCGGCTAATAATATTTTTTAGTCATAATCTCCTGCATTCGATTCTAATGTTGCCAATTTTTATTTATTTATTTATTTATTTATTTTGTGATGATGGTTTTAGTCTGATTTACTTTACCTGAGACGTAGAGTTTTAAGAGTACAAACTTTTCCATAATTATTTAGTGTTTACACAACTATGGATAATTATTCGTGATGTTTTATCTTTCTTTATTCCTTGGAATATGAAGGTAAGAATAATTATTTTTATATTTGTTAAAAGGTCATCCAATAATATTTTTGATATCTTTTATTTTTAGAAAAATGATATTCTCAAGAGTAGGATGTTTTATTCTCATGGTAGGTGGGTAGTTAAGTTATATTCTTATAGAATATTGGAGGTTATTTTTTATAATCCTTGTAGTTTTCATTTTTATTTAAATTTTAGAAAGTATTATCCGGAATATCAATCTCTATGTATTAAACATAACTTTCATCTAGCTTGTGAGTGTTTTAGGAATTTTTTTTCGACGAGAGAGTTTGTAAGGATTTTTTAAACTTTTTATCTATGTAATGTTGTAAGTTGTGAAAGTGTTATAATTATTCCTAATTATTTTATGTTGTTAAGTTAAGTTGTTAATCAATGTTGATAGACTTTAGAGTATGAGGATCTCGTAGAAGTTTCAGTTGTAGTAAGCAGGGGTCTCTAGGTAGTGATCTGGTTTGACCTCGAAGGGGATAGTATTTAAGATTTTTATTTTGAACAGATAAACTCTTTTCCCTCTGAAGTCTAAAGAGAAGATTCTAATGAGATAAGCTTTAATCTGTAGCTTCTTTCTCCTCTGAATCTTCCCTTTCGATGAGATTTTTCTTCTCCTTAGCTGATCACAAGTTGTTATGTTGTGATTCAAGTAATGGAAATCTTTAATCAAGTCACTGATCTCGTGTGGGGTTTCATTTCTTTCTTCTCCCTCACTTTTGAATTACCTAAGATAAGGGAAGCTAGATTCTTGCTTTAGTTGAGTTGTTGAGTTGTTGAATGATATGTTTGTTGTATGTTCGTGAATTATTTGCAATTTATGACTGTGTATGGATCAAATCAGAGTGGGTTGTAGTGAGAGTTGGGGTTTTGGGTTCTTGATGAAGAGTGTGATGACTTGAGAAGATTTTTGGTTGCATGTTGAATCTAAGTGTATATATGAGTTAGTTGTGATGTATATAATAGTTATTTTATATTGCATGTGTTGGAACCTTGTTGGGTTTCAGGTTTTGGCTCAAAATCGGGTTCTATATATATAGAATTTTGATATCGCGCGGGGCGTCGTTCTAGTTTGAGGATCTCTATCTCAATCATTTTAGGTTAGGATTGGTGGCGTTGGATGTAAGGAAAAAAGACTCTTCTCGGATTGAAATGGTGTCGGACATGTTTTGAATGGCGTTGGGCGTGAGAATGTTGAGAGGTCTTTGACTTGGTAATGTCGGGCCCAAAGCTGAGTGGCATCCAACGTGGCCAAGCTAGAGCTCTCCTTTTGGATGACGTCGAGTGTTGATATGGCAACGCCAAACATGAGTCATGCAGAGACTCTCTATCTAAGATGGGGTCAGACGTGGTGCTTTACCACAACAGATGCAAGGTCTTAGTGACCTTTGTCTTAACCACGCTGAGCGTGAGTTGTGTAGTATCAGGCGTGGGTAAGACAAAAAGTTCCTTGCCTTGATGGCGCCAAACACGGCATATGTTGCATCCAACGTGGTTAGGAGAATGAGAACATGTTGATGAATTAGATGATTGATGAGTTTTAGATGAATGGATGTATATGTTATATACTTTAAAGTAGTTAAGTGTCGTTATTCTATATATGATGATATTTTGAGATGAATGATGATTGAGAAGTGAATGTGAGTTGAGATGTGTGTTGGTTGTGTTGAATATATATATATATATATATATATATATATATATATTTAGTTTTCATGTTGTTGAGATTTAATGACCAACCTAGAACTAGAGGAGAGGTTTTTGGAAGTTGCATATCCCATTGTGTGGATATTGTCTTATGGAGCTTCAAGAGTCTAATTTGTTGAAAATCCTTCTTGAAAAGTTGAATCTTAAAGTGGATTGTTGTGTTGATTCTTTTCTAGAACTTTGTTGGTACGATTGTATCGTATGTGGACAAGATTGAGGCACACGTGTATAAAGCAACCACAATATAGGGGTCAACTCAAGCTATACTGATTAAAAGTAACCAACCGAGTAAAGTATGAACTTAGAAACTAAGTTCCTAACTAACTCTTGGAAAGGCATAGTATTTGAAAGGTAGTCGACAGACTAATCCCATAGGGGACTTAGTTAAGCTACCTAATGTCGTAGTATATTCATACCCAACTATTCTACCATGACAATAGTACTAGACTTTCTTTTTTAAGTGGTGACATCTAAGAAACTAAGTTGTTGTGTTGTGGATTTATATCTAATTTGCTGTTGATCTAAGAAACCCAAAAAGATCACCATGTATTATTGATTTGATAGGGTCAAACCACTTAATCTACTCATTTTGTGTTGTAGGAGATCTCCTAGTTGAAATACGTGATGATACATGTAATTGTTGTGTTGAAAATATTGTGTTGCCATGATGATAAATTTGTGTCGAGAATGTTGTGATGCTGAGTTGATATTATGTTGTGAAAAATTGAGTTGTTATGTTGATATGTGTTGTATACTATGATGTTTTGTGTTGTTAGTGTTGGAGATGATGATGTGATGATGTATTCAAAATTGTTGATTTTTGTGTTATATAAATGTTGATCTTTAAACTCTAAGCTTACTCTTGTGTGTTTCTATATGATTTTGACTGTGATGATCATAAGTGATATGAAAGTAGAGCAATGATAGGTTAGAGTCATCCAGTAAAGTCTAAGTTGGATGTATTTTGAGAACTACCTTTTTAATGTTGTTTTGTATATATTGTAGGGTTGTTTGGTCGGTAACTTAGGTTGTATAGTTTACTATTAGCTGGATATTATTGTATTTATACTATATATGCACATTTGATGAAGATGATTTATTGTTATATGCATGATATATGATATGTACTTAGGCACTAGTATACTTACAATCCTAAGATGTTAAATTTCCACTACTAGTAGTTGTACCGTTTAGTGTATGAACCAAGTTATTACAATTTAATTCAATTTTTATTTATCATAATTATTTATGAAATATCAATATTTTAAAATAAATTATCAATAAATAAAATATTTTTTATTATATTAAAAATTATTTATCATAAATATAAAATATTATTTATATATTCATGTATATTAATTTTAAATATAATTTATATATTCAAATTCAAATATAGTATTTATCTATATATATATAATTTATTGTAAATTTTAAT